ATGCTATGAAGTGACATGAAACTCTAACCTAAAGCTACCATAGCTAAAACTACTTTCCAAAATGTACCAACAGTCAGGGTGCCACATGACCTGTATTCAGCCAAGCACATGTGCTAAGTCAAAGGAGGAGTTAGGTAAGATGACCTGAGGAGCAGAGGGTAGGGATGAGATGGTACAGCTGGGGCTTGTACATCTGGGGTTGGCAGCTGTCGCTGAGACATATGGAATGAGTTAGGGGCATCAGGGCCCATGGGTCTCTGAGAACAGAACCACCATGCTGTCCACCAAAGAGAAGGCTTTGGCAAGAACTGTTTCTAGAAATTTAAAACATTGTTCCTTTAGACCTCCCAGTGTCTCTAAGAATTATCTTATTCCCTTGAATAAATCCTTGATTTAAATGAGTTGACGTACTTTCTGATGTCTGAAATTAAGAATTTTGATCAATAAACCAAAAACCATGGAAAACATTTCAATGAAAATAAATACTAACCTAACTAAAGTTAGAAATTATGTAAAATTAAAAACACAGTAAGGGGCCAGCCAGATAGCTCAGCAGATTAAAGTGCCTGTTTAGGCAGACACAGGGACCAGGGTTCGATCCCCAGCTTGCCCTGCTGGCCCTTCCTCCGGGACATGCTGAGACAGCAACTGAGACTGGGCACAGTGGTGAGCCTGTAATCCCAGCGCTTGGGAGGGTGAAGACAGGAGGATCTGTGTAGTGAGACCCTGTGCTAAATACATAAATAAAATAAAATAACCACAGTGGAGCTGGGCAGATAGCTCAGCAGTCTAAGTGCCTGCCTAGCAAGTACAAGGACCTGGGTTTGATCCCCAGCCCCACATGCCTGCCAGCCCCCAAGCAAATGGTGCCCATCAAGGAAACCAGGTGTGGTGGTGCATGCCTGTAATTTCAACACTGGGAAGGCTGAGACAGGAGAATCACTGAGTCTGAGCTGCATAGCGAGACCCTGTACCAAATACATAAAGATTTTAAAAAGTTCAAAAAACCCACAGTGGACCCTTGAGTTATGACCAGCATCACAGAACAGCTAGGTTATGACCAGAATTTTAGGTTTAACTTATGATCAAAGTCTTGAGTTATGATCTGAATGCTGGCTGCTTGTGGAGTTGTAAACAAAAGATATGTGATGCTAGAAAAGTCAATGTAAATGTACTTAAATGTCATGATGAGCTCAAATGCATGTGCTTATGGATGAGATTTTGGTCAGTGCATTGCTACGATTACTGCTATCAAACTGCCCCCAAAAACCTAGAAAAGAAGCGAAGGAAGGAAGGAAGGGAAGATAAAGAAAGCAACCACAATCCAAAAGAAGGAAATTGTGAAGAAATTAAGAGTGGCGGTCATATGACTTTTCTTGTTAATACACATAGCATGTCAAAATCTGTCATATTGACACTCTTACAGAGAAAAGATTTTTACAAGGAAGCTAGTGTTGCTAAAGGTGTTACTTAAATTAGTAAGTCACAATAGTGTTAGATGAAGTAGGAAGGCCACTACTAATATGGATAAAAGGCAGAAGGCAGGTTATACCCTAAGTCTTCGATTTGTAGCAGAGCTAGGGCTACAAATACAGAACTTATAAAGGCTAATCTACCAAGGAGTGACAACAGTAAAACATTTCTTGCCAGTAAGTACTTTCACAATTGTAAAGCAAGAATTGGGGCTCATTAGGCCAAGTGAGGCAGCCAGTGCTGATAAAAGGATTGCTCAAAATTACAAACATCACTTCAAAATGATGTCACAGAGAAATAACTTGCTTTTATCAAGTTCTCAACTGAGATGAAACTGGCCTTTGCTAGAGTGTGTCCGGGAGAACATACGTTACCCAGGAGAAGAAAATGCCAGGCCACAAGCCCATGAAGGACAGGTTAACCTTACTGCTATGTGCCAATGGGAGTGGTGCGCTCTCTTGGTTTATCGCTCTGAGCCTCCTAGAGTATATCAAAAAAAAAAAAGTCATGAAGAACAATGTTGTTCAGGGGCAGGTGGGGATCTAACACCGAAGTCTGGGTAACAGGAGAACTTTTTCTTGAGTGGCTCAGGGAGGCTTTCTGTCCTACTGCTAAGCAGTATGTAAAGGAAAAAGGTTTGCACTCCAGACCATCCTTATCACAGACAATGCGGCTGCTCACTCACTAGATTTGGAAGAAGAATGGGCTGAAGAATTCCCGTGCTCTCAGTCGAGTCTCCCCACCTAGTACAACTGCTCTACTGCAGCCCACGGGCCAGCAGGCTATAGCTCACTTTAAGAAGCTGTGCACCACGGAACTGCTCCTGAAGTGCTTCCAGCTGGCCTCGATAGATGTAACTGTTAAGAGTTCCAGAAATCCTTTCCTGTGTGGGGATCCCTGAGAAATCCCAGGTCAGTGTCTCTCTAAGGACACTGGATCTGCCCGGAACAAAGTGTGGCCTGAAGTTATACAAGAGAGAGAGGCTTTGCAGGCCTGTAGAGGAAGGAACCTGAGCCCGTGGTTGATGGCACTGTCACTACAGCGCAGCGCGCAGGCTTGCAGGCAGACAACAGCAACGCAGAGGAGCTGGGAGAGGCACACTCAGCTGAGCTCCAGAGAGTGGCAGGTCAGCAGCTTTGTGAAGTGGGGAGGATAACAATCAGCAGCAAAGTTCTTCTGAAATAAAGGAAATCCTGAAAACGAGGGCAGAGCTACGAACTGTTGTGGAGAAGACCCAGCCAGCTGCTGCACTCGCTCGACAGTGACAGTATCATGGTACTAAAGAGAAGGCAGAAACAGCACCTCAGACCACTTTCCAGTTCTGAGAGGGCTGGTGAGCCAGAAGCAGGTCCTGGGTTGCAGACTCCCGAGGCCAGAAAGATCACAGACCTTGCACTTGCCAGGCAGGCACTTAAGCCACTGAGCTCTATCCCTGGCCCCCAAGAACCCAATACTGATGCTCCTGTGGCAGAGGACTCTCACTCCAAACAGTGGCCCCCTTCTGTTTCCTCATCCTGTTTTCTCGTTCCTTCCTGCAGGCCAAAGATGCGCACATGAATAGCCAGCACAGTGTGAAATAGTTTCTGGTAAACCAGGTACATTTTATACCTTCTTGGTGAATAAACTGGGAAATTGCTGGTGGTTTTAGTAAATTATGCACATCACACAACCCTCTTTTATTGTGAAAAGGTCAGTTGAGGGGTGTTCTTGGGGGCTCCGAGTGCATTATGGGTATTTCCATTATTTCTTATGGGAAAAAGTCTTGATTTATAAACAATGTGAGTTACAACTGGCCCTCACAAACAAATTGAGTTTGTAAGTCAAGGTCCACTGTACAGCTTGTAATAGTCTTCACTGCAGTTTTATACCAGTGCTACTTTATGTGAAGAGGCTACTTGTCTTAGTTACTTTTTCTCACTGCTGAGACAAAACACCTGACACCTGAAGTTAAAGGGAGCAAAGTTTCTGTAGCTTAATCTGTAGAGCTTTCATTCAGTCCATAGTTGGCTGACTCTAAGGCAGAGGGGCGTCACAGAGAACAGTTCATGGTACCTGCAGGATAGCAAAAGCAACAAGGGAAGAAGCCAAGCCTCTTCCCTTACATGGCACCCAGGCTAATGGGATTAGGCTGATAACAAACCAATGAGTAGTGATTTAGTCATCACACCCTTAACTCCAGCATCGTCACTCTAGATTCAGCCACTTCTGCAAAAGCTCACTTATGACTGCAGGAGGCTTGGTGGGGGAGGGACAGCTAAACAAAACCCAGATTGCAGAAAACAGATTTGAAATATTATTTAATAATCTCCAAGAATTCCCTTACAGATCCAACAATCTTTATGAAGATTTTTTAACTTTCAAAGGTAACAATATCAAAACATGGACAAAATCTAGGACTTAAAAGCCAAAAAACTGGGAAAATAAAATTATGCTTTTCATTAATTAGCAAAATGGGTACATGGACACCCCAAAGCCACAAATCTAGACTTTTTTTAAAATTATAAAACTAGCTACAATAAGCAGAAAATCATTAAAATTATCATAGCATTTTGTGTTAAAAGTCATATGGGTATAATAATTACTGGACCAAAATTAACTGAAATAATTTTAAAGAAACTATAAAATGTTACATGTCAATCTGAACAAAATATTTATAATCAGATTTTAAAAATCAACATTAACATGATTAATCATTTTTATGTACAGTTTCTAACAATATAATTTTCAATTCAAACTACAACTTTTAAGGATGGATCAGAATTTAAAAACCCGTAATTAAAACCCTACACTGCTCCTACAAGACTACTGCATATATATTCCGTCAAGCCCATCTTGGTAACACTCTGGGTTTCTTGGCAAAGATTACCTTAAAATTACTCAACATTTAGAAATAGAAGGAAAAAGAGGTTATAAAAATACAGCATTTCTGGCTTCACTTTAAGTACCTTCAAATATCTCACTAATCCACGTAACTAATCAACAAACAGAATTATTGCCATTTTCTTAAAGCAGCTGAATAGTCACGTATGTACTGCAGAGCCCAGGTAACGTGAACAAACAAGTGAAGGGAGAACCAACTGTCAATGTCGATCTAATGCGTCTTAAACCCACACCTTTTCTATCACAACAGGCTCATTCCTTAAGGAAAAATCAGTAATTACTTTTCATACATGAATGTAAAGTAATTCTCCCAAATATAAATACAGTATTAAGAATTACTGGAAGGAATAGGATATGGTCTTTGTCTTTGAAGATAAACTAGAATACTCTTAATTATAAGATAGGCAATAATGAAAAATACATACAGAAAAATTGTGTTAAACGTGGTTTCTTAATACTTTCTCAAACTTTTTTTGCAGTCTACTCATCTCTTAAAATAGATCTGTTTAAAGGCCAAGCAAAGGCAAAAATAGACTGTCAAAGGCAATAACTGTTTTCATTTATCACAAGCCTTGTAATTAATTCATTAGTTTGTCAATCAACTTCACTGTTAGTGAAATTTGTGAAGGGAAAAATGAATAGCTCACCGTGCACAAGGATGTCTTTGTGATTTTCAGGGAAAAATCTGAAGAAAACTCCAAATCTGAGATAGATGTTGTATGGCAATCTATATGCTATCCATTAAAAAGGAGAAAAAGGAAGGAATTAGCAAAATATTTTAAAAATATAAATAACACTCGATGCATTCTTTTCATAGAATTTCATCATTTACACAACATTTGGGGGATTATTTCCAAATTTAAGGATTACTAAAGCTTTATCATTTAGTTTTTCTTCAAATCACATTAGTACCTTTTTAAGAGCTGTTGTAAGCAATAAGAAATACTGTATATTAAGTCATGGCTCTGATCTGCTAGCCTTCCTAAGACAAACTAAATAAATACTGCAAATAGAAATGTTTTTCTATGTATCACCGAAATTCATTTTCCATGCCATCTGTGGTACCTCTGCTATAAACCATGTATGACAACAGTAAAATAACAATAAACACTTTCAGAGGAAATGGTAAGCTGAAACACACACAGTGAGAAGAAAAACTGTTTTAAAATTTATTTCTGATGCATTTAAATACTCAAATCAAACAGCAAAACTAGGGCTACACAAAACTAGTAGCTCAGCGTGAAAAGGCTCTGGGTTCAATATCCAGTCCCACAAAAAGAAAACAAACAAAAAACTGCCAAATATCTTTGTTTCAGAATTTGCTCTGGTTCCAATTTTTCACTTTGGGTAGGGCAGAAATCCCCTCTTGGGCACTGCAGCCTGGGAGGGCTCTAAAGGCTGCAGTAGCTGGAGAGATCACTATAACCCCATGAATACACACCCGAGGCATTATTCTATGAAAAAGAGTTTGCAAAAAGTTTAAAATTACATTGCAATTACCTTTTACTTGTAGGACGCCTAGGGAACATAGAACAAATGATATTTACCTAAATAAAGGACTTTTATTTATTATGTATAATGATTTAAAATAAATGACTTATTAAATACCTTTGTTTTTTAGCCTTAAATTTTCTATTCCCGGTATCTGTAACAGCTTTGGAATTACATGGCGATCACTAGAGAGAGAAATCAGCTCTGACTTCCCCGCCTCTTCCCTGTCTGCTCCACCCTAAGGCTGAGCTGACTAGTCTCTACAGGATTACCAGCCTAGGAGCCACACAAATCCCCTACTGGGAGTGGCCTGGAGCACCAAACCACACTACAATCAGTGAGGCTGGCTTGCTCTTCTTGAAAAAGTTCTTACTCATTATTCTATGTCAACCATTAAACAGCCCAACTACTTAAATACAGGATGACCAAAAATTCCATATATTTTGTTAATCTTTATAACAGGAAATACAAAAACAATCTTATCAAATTTATTGAACATAAGAACTGACTGCTTGAAACGACACCTGCCCATGTGATGCTCAGCAGAGTGAGCACACGCACATACTGCCCAAGTGAGATGTTTAGTTCAACCCTCTATCAAATTTAATAAAGATTACTTTTATGCAAAAGACAATTATTAATGCTATGAGGTTAACAGTATGAATAAAAAGACACAATATTCTAAATCTAACCCTGAACAAACTATATACTTATATAGTTGAAAGTAACCTTTAAGAAAAGGTAATTTTTTCAATGTAAAGTTAATAATTGTGAGCCATATAAAATGAACAAAAATTCCAAATAAAACTAGTTTAATATACTAAAAAAAATAATAGAACACAAAAGGAACTAATTTAAAAATTTCAGCACAGTAGTTTAAATTTTAGGGCAAAGTCATTAGGATTATTTAATCTTAAAGGGTTAGAAAACATTTGAGTAGGGGAAATTCAATTTTGTGAGATATGAACTAAATGACTACTTTGCTGTGGGAAGCTATAATCAAGCCAACTGGTGATGAAGCAGAGGTGACAATACTGCAGACTTTTTGTCTTAGCCAAAGTGAAAGCAAATGATTCAACTGGTTCAGCGTTAGATTTGAAGGATTTTAAAATGGAGTAAAAGAAGTTTAAAAACATAATTAGAATTCCAAACAGATGGGAATCAGGTGGGAAATATTATCATCTTTAGTTATTTCACAGCGATTAAAGCTGGAAGAAAAAAAAAAAAAGCTGGAAGACTCTAAGGTCCACATATAAAATAAAGCTGGCCTTCTGTTTCTACCTCCCCGCACCCTCACACTAGACTGTGAATTCAAAATTGTATTTGGAAAAAATTGCACCTGTACAGAACATGTACAGACTTTGCTTTTCCTATTACTCCCTAAACAATAAAGTACAGTAACTATCTCCACAGCACAATAACTGAAGAACCTCATCAACATAGGATTTTGGTATCCAAGAAGCTCCTAGAACCAACTCCCCACAGATGAGAGGGGACTGCACTGATTTCAAATAAGCTTAGAAAAAGGGCAATGCTTTCATTAAAAATCTGGCAAAACACTTACCTTAATACCGCAAGGGTCTGAAATAAGAGTCTCTGCATCTAGAACTTCCACAATCGCTTCTGGAATAACTGCTTTCTTCATGCAGGACATGTTGAAGCCATAGACATCATCCCAGAAAGCAATTCTGTCAGCATGTTCCTTCACGTCACTCACAGCTACCAGGCTGATAGTGCAAATGTCAGGGTACACTGCAGACAACAAAATGCTCAACTATATAGTACCATCACCTTCTGTGAGGGAAAATTTTACATCTATGTCTATATCTATATATAGATCTCCTAAACCCACTGCTATGGGTTACTATCAAAGGAAAATGATACAGTAAGGGAAAACAACCAAATTCCCTTCTATAGTCTCTTTTGAAAAATAGTCATGAGAGTGAAATGTAAGAGGGATTCCAATTATGTACTCATTAAATTATTAAAACAGTATAAAATTAAGTCACCCAGAAACATAAATATATTAATATTAAAACTTAAAATATGCTGACTTTAAAAATCAATGAATCTATATATTCCACAGAAATGTAGAAAGACACCAATCATTCTGATATACATTGCATGTACAACATGTAATAAAATTTAATTTTATCATTTGTGGAAAACGTTTGTATTACCCCCTCTTACTCAATATAAAATAAAATATTTATGGACATGAAGAACGTGCCAGCCTTATTTTAAGTCTGTGGGTGCACAGCCCTATCTTCAAGAAAGTTAGGTAACAATTCCTAGGAAAGAGACAGAACAAGGCGCTCCAAGGAATTATGGAAGCTCAAGCCAAATCAGCGATTTCAAACTTAGTGGAAGCCAGGGAGCAGGGCTATTCCCTAAGATAAAACCTGAGGCCCCAGGAGGAGTGGGATGAAAGCATGTGTTAGGAAGAATGAACGGTGTACAAACAAGGTCATAATTAATAGATGCCATGGCCTATAGACAACCCAATCAGAGATAAGCAGTAAGACAAAAAGCTACAAAGGAACCAGAGTAAACTACACTAAAAATTAAGACTTTATTATAATAACCCATTGAACATTTTTACACAGGGTAATGATTGTGGTTTTTGGGAAAGTCATTTGGAGTGCAATGTTCAGAAATTAAGAAACAGTTTTAGTCCAGGTGCTCAGAATTGAGCCGATGGCTATGTGATTGGAATGGAGATATGTTATTCAAGGGGCATGGGGAGGAAGAACTCACAGATCTCTGAGACAGGCTGGCTGTGGAGGGAAGAGCAGCCAAGGATGAGTGTCAAGCTTTGGCAATTGGACAGTCTGTCGTACTAAGCACGACAGTAAGGAAAAGCACGGGCAGACTTGAAAGGAATACAGAAGTTTACTGCTCGCAGCACAGGCTTGAAATCCAAAAGCAATCATCTGGGCCAGAGCTGTGACTTTAAAAACCACGAACGTACAAATGGGAATGAGAGAAATGGGCACTCAGGAGACCTCTGGAGAGCACACAGTTACCACTAGAATTTACAGGCTATGTGGAGGAGGGAAGGAGGCTGACCAGCTGGAGAGGAACAAACCACCACAGGGAGAGCACTTGGGGGAGTTATGGACAAGGTGATTTAGTAAGAACTCCTAGGAAGTTTTTCTTATTTTAAGTTTTTGTTTTGCTTTGTTTTGTAGTGCAGGAATTTCTAGCATGCTAGGCAAGTACTTCACCATTGAGATATATCCCCACCCAACAAGTAAAGGCTTTTATGAAACAAAACTTAAAAAAAATACTGTTTATATTTTGTGAGTAGTAAAATTAATTTTTTCTTTGAGTATCTCAAATAGCAACTCTTAAGAAATTCATGGAATACAGTATGTTCCCGTACCAACAGGGAGCAAATATAAATGTATCAAACGAACACAGACATTTCCACATGGTCAAGTGCCTTCAGATTTAAACAGACATTATCCTCTTTCCCCCAAATTTTATGCAGTCTTAGAAATTTTATTATTCAGTAGCTACAGCACTCATATATCCTCCATAAACCCCAGAACAAGATCTGCTGGCATCAAAGCAAATGCTCTGAAACCTAACTCTGAATACCCAGCAAAGGTCCCGAGTGCGGTGTCAGGGCGGGGTTCTTGAGTCAGCGCAGCGGAGGTGCGCCGGTCTGTGGCTGTGGAGCTGAACAACTTCCGCCTTCCCTTGCCCCACATATAGGTAAAGCCTCCTAATCAATACAAATCCATGTTATTGGAAATGTTGACTGGCAAGATAAGCAACTACAGGAAAGTATGATAACTTTCCTGGACAACATCCCTAATTTGTAAAGATTCTTAAGCCCTATAAAAGCAGAATCCTGAAACAGATTATATGATGAGCTTTTTCCTTATTATTATTTTTTTTAATGTATTTGGAACAGGGTCTCACTATACAGTTCAGACTTATAGTGACTCTTGTTCTCAGCCCCCCAGTGCTGGAAATATAGGCATGTGTCACCATGCCTGGTCTTTTGGTCAACTTGATAAATCTTTTCTTGACCCTAACAGAAGCAGTCCCATTGGGTGCCCTGAAATTTCATGCTTAAAGAGGAACACAGGTACAGCAGGGGTTAGCAAATGGTTTTTTGTCAAGTTACTACTTTAGGTTTTGTGGGCCATATACTTTTCATTGAAAGTACTGCTTTCTACTACTGCTAGTGTCATACACAATATGTAAACAAATGAGCATGACTGACCCATAAACCTTTATCTACAATCAGGAAGTAGGCCAGATAAGAGACACCACTGGCAGAGATGAGAGCGAAATGGCTGATGTAGTTATTATCAGGACCGCCACATTGACCCACTCCCGCGAGGGCCACTCATGGGAGCCCAGCATCCTGCCATGGACTGCACACTGTTACTTCACATAGTTCATAAAATTCTTCGACTTTAGAATATCATTAAAAATCATAGCAGAAATTTTTAATCGGTTTCTACCAGGTTTGGCAAACTCTGGCTCAGACGTCAAATCCAGTCTGCTGGCTGTTTCTGTAAATCAGCGTGATCAGAACACAGCCACACTTACTTGTACATGTGGCGTCTCTGGTGGTGCTACAGCAGAGCTGCACGGCAGGGACCGAAACCGTAGTAGCATGGAATTGAAAACATTTGCTATCAGGTCTTTAATACAAAAAGTGTGCTGATACCTGGTTCTACATCAAACAATGTGAGGTGTCAGTTATGCCACCAATAAAGATGACTTATTCACATTACATTCTGAAAGTTATACAAGCTTTTTTTTTTAATTTTTATTTATTTACATTTTGTGTGTGTGTGTGTGTGTGGCCAGCTCAGTCCACCAGGGGGTGGGGCTGGCTGGCATGTGGTGCTGGGGGATTGCTGTGCTTTGCTTAGCTTAGCTTGTTCTAAGTAGGTGCTTTAGACCACTGAGCCATCTCACCAGCCCAAAAGTTATAAAAGTTTTGAAACTATATTGGTAATAAGACAAAAGAAATTAATGAGGTGCATGAGTTTGCTTTTTCCAGTGTCAAGGTATATTTTTAACCTAATTATAGGAACCTGCAAGTGTGAGGTCCTGAGTTCAATTCCCAGTACCAAAAAAAATTAATTAAAAAGAGAAAGATACAAAATTCACAATTCTTCTATTTTAGAACTTAAAAACAATTATTTTTACGTCTCAGTAGGATCTATGTATATTCATAAAGATTTTGTAATCAGTGTTATGTGGTCAATCTGGGTTTAGATCCACCTTCACATGGCTGCCTACATTTTGGGCCTCCTGCCAAAATTCTGACTAGCCTTTTATCTTCAGATTCTGACACTCTGGCATGAGATTTCTGTCAGATAGAAACTATAATTGAATAATTATTCCAGCTTGTAGGTGAAATTAACAAAATGCTGATTGGACAAAGGCACCCTCTTAACAGACCATTTATAAATTCATGGCTTTGACATCTGTGTCCTTCTCGATTCACTGCCCAGAATCCATTTGTCGCTAGAACAGCCCACACGGTGAACAGAGATGGGAAATCCTTTATCTCTTTGAAATGCCTCATAAGCTTTTGAATACTAAAGAATAGTACTGAGGTGTGTAAGAACATGATTCCTAGTAACCAGTAGGATTACTGTCTGTACTGAATAACAACACAGTGAAAAATAGAACAGAAAGAAGTCAAAAAAAAGTGTGCTTCTTCCAATGTATTTGAATAAAAAGACTTTGGTGAATTAATAATGATACCAAACCACTTGACATACATGACAGAAAAATGTACTATAAAGTCACCAAACTAGCAGATATGGTGGCATGAAATAAACTTACTTTATGTAAGGAAATCTTTGAGAATGGGACAAAACTGACTTGGAAATTCGATGCATTTATTCATTATTAGCATAAACAGCAAAGCCCACTCCAGCTTAGCTAAAAGCTAAGACGTAGCTGCTTTGTTTTTATTTTTTTCATTTTATGTGTTTGGTACAGGGTCTCACTACGCAGCTTGGACTTGTAGTGATCCTCCTGTTTTCAGCCTCCCCAGAGCTGGGATTACACATGTATACCACCACGCCTAGACTCAACATCTGGCTCAGGGCACTCCAGGGGCAGGGCCAGTGTGGCATGCACTACTGGGATCAAACCCTGGTCCCTAAGTTTGCCAAAGCAGGTGCTTAGTCTGCTGAGCTATCTTGCCGGCTGGATATAGCTGCTTTGAAAACATGTATACTGAAATGAAGTAGAAGGCAGTACCACTATGATATTATTGACCACCACTGACATAATAAATGTGAAAAAAGTAGATCTGAGGAATGAAGTAGATAGTGAATTATGGAAATACTAAGAGAAACCTTTAACACTCCAAACCAGTGTCCATGACTGTTTATATTTGAGACCATCTATGTAGAAGTATAGAAAATATGAAGTACATTAGCAAATACAGAATTCATAACAGAAGAAATTTTTTAATAGCAGACGAGATTTTCCAAAGGCAACTGCAATAGAAAATCCTGGAGAGTGGAGAACACGTGCATGCGTGCTATCTACTGCCCACTCTATTTTCCTGCTGCGCAGGACTGTCTGTGCAGTCCTCCATTAGGTGCCAGCGCTACTTCCCTTATGGAAGCAAGAAATGACAAACACTGGCTTCTCCTACCTCACCGCGGGTTAGGACATGACCACAGCTCCACTAATGATACAACCCAAAAGCTGCAGCTAATTTTCAGAGGCAGCAATGTGTACTGGTGGTGAGATCAGCA